TAGGCAAAAGACTGGGCTTGGGCAGTCTGTATGGAGGTTGAAATCTTGGGATGGGAAAAAGATGAAATTAATGTGTGGGACTAAGAGACCTAGCAAGGGTGAACCTCCCATTTTCCCATATCCCCATCAGTTACATAGACCCAGAGAACTAACTTGATCTTTTTATCCAGCAAGGAGTCTTAAGGAACGTTGAATAGTCCCTAGGATCATCTGCTGGAAAAGAAAGGTGAGGATGAGGAAGCAAGATGTAGGTTTTGTTCTGCAGAAAGTCAGGGTCCTGGAACTGAATAGAAAAATGGAAAGAAGCTGAGATCTCTGTCTGAGGCCTAGTGTGGCTGTGAGAAAACAGAAAAGATAACATGGATAGCCTCATGACAGTATGTGTAGAGGAGTAGGATGGTGAGTACTGGATCTCTTGGAGAAGCAGAGTTTCTGCAGAGCAGACTTGCCAAGAAGTTCTGAAAAGTTTGCAAGGACTAGCCAGGAAGGGATGTATTAATACTCTGCATATGGACATGTGTAACACACACACACACACACACACACACACACACACACACTTAGAACACATTTTCCTTCCTTAATGTAACACACAAACATACACATACTTTGAACACATTTTCAAAGTAACGTGCCAGCTGGGGTATGACCCATGATCATCATAAAATTTAATGTGTTCATAATAAGCAACAGCTGCCTTATTTCTGCCAAGGAGACTCCTACTACCTTTTTGTTCCCCATTCTCCTTTGGACAACTTGGTAATGCCAGCACTTGTGCCTTTGATTGCCTGCCATGTAGTAAAGGTCTCCTGTTGGATCCTCCAAAGTGGTTGCTTTGTGATCTGCTGAGTAAAGCCCCTATGTGACACATGCTCAGACACCATTTTATTGTCCTTCTGTAACCCCTGCTGTTGAAAAAACAGAAAAGCTGATAAATGCTGGCTGAAATTTTTCTAGAAAAGTTTACTATTTGCTTAAGAATGTGTACATGATTCTAGGATTCTTTTGGGGTTCAATGGGCATATTAGTAGCCTGATCTTTTCATTTTTCCATCATACTCAACTTTGATCCTGTCACTTCATGGTCACAGGTGGCAAGAATCACATCCTCACTGCAGTCACTGAGCAGGAGGGAAGGATTGAAGCAAGGCTATTCCTTTTGGAGCCTTTGCCTTTTCATTTTGGAACCATAATTTTCTTCCTTAGAAGCCCATAAGAATTTATCTTGCATTTCATTATTTAATTCTGGGTCTTATGATCTCCTTTTCCTTAATTGTGACTAAGAAGGCAAGTACATTTGCACTATCCATCATCAGAGATCTTTAGGTCCAGATGTATTTCCGAACTCAGAAGGTTTCAGGTTTTAGAAAGTCAGGCAGTAAATATTGTGTATTTTATGTTATGCCACCAGTGAGGTCTAGAGAAACACTGTGTCATCAAACACATCCATATATTTTCTCCAAAATGTATCAGTATTAACATGGAATAAATGATGATATAAAGTCTCAGTTACTGCCATCTGAGTTAGCATCAGATTTAGGGAAAATAATCTTAGTTTTCTGATCCTTTTAGATTGGGGAATAGTGAATGAGAGGTTGAAGACTGGTATATGATCATGAGGAGAAAATGTGTTCTGATGCGTAATCTAGGATTGTGCAAATAGCCACCAGGAATAAGTCAAGAAAAGCAAGATTTTGATTTGTTGTAAAGTTGGTAGATGAATCAGTTTGTTAAGTCAATTAATATTTGTAGAGCTTCTCTGTACTAATTCTATTTCTAGTGACTCACCAGTGGACACAAGATCCTTGCTCTCTTGAGATTACATATTAAAGTGGGAGTAAATATATACAGCAAACAAATATGTCAGATGTTGAAGAATGCCCAAAAGAAAAATAAATCAAGGCAAGGCAGTAGATGGTGTGATTGTGCTACTGCATACAACACAGTGTTCAGGTAATGCATCTCAGAAAAGTCAACAAAGACCTAGAGAAGTGAGAGGGTGAATCATGAGAAAATATAGGACAAGTATTCCAGACAAAGTGCAAAACAAGTGTAAAGAGCCCAAGGCAGAGAGATTGTGAGTGTGTTGAAATATGACAGAGGAGAAACGACTGACTCTCCCCTTTTTCTCCATGCAGGTCAAGGGGGTCATGGTTTGGCTATCACCTAACATAGCCTTCCCTCTCATTTTCCTTTATTCCCCCTTGCTCCCCTCTTTGTCTTGCCTGGGTGTCCTTTCTTGTTTTGTGGCCACTCTCCTCAGCTTGGCTCTCAGCTGTAGTGCTCCTCCCCTACTCCAGCACTCCAAATGCTGCTGCCGCCTCTTTGAACAGCTACCTAACATAGCTAAGATTGAAGGTGGAGGGATTTGGGTCCATGTATATCCCTAACCTCCTCAAGGCTTAGTAAACTGGAGCTCTAATGAACATAGCTATCCCTTCTGAAGATAACTTGGTTTCAGCCATGTCATTTCCCCCCAAAGATACCACAACCAAACAGTTGTGTGGGCCCTCACTGAACTGTCCCCAGGAAAGCTGCTGCTATCCTAAACATCATTGTCCCACTTGTCCTTATCACAGGCCTGCATTTGGGCCAATCAGAGTAGTGTGGACAGAGCAGTGGTCTCAAAAGGAAGAGCAATAATTATTAGGGGATGTTAGCCCTAAAGAGACCCAGAGACCAAAAGCCAGTGAAGATCCATGGTAGAGAACAGCACCTGGCAGAGTTTCTCACCAGTGTGCAAAGCCAGCACTGAATGGCAATAGCTAACAGCAGCAGATAACAGTATCCTGAAGTTGCCAGCACAGTCCAACACATGCTGGTGTTGCATAGAGGCAGCTGGCAGTGACAGCTGGCAGAGACTATTGCTTCACCCAGCAAAATTTCCAAGTGGTGTGGGCAGAAGCTGGTACAGAATGGCAGTGGCAGAAACAAGCAGCCGACTGTGTCCACTAACAGCATCCAGCGTTATCCAGTGTAGTCTGTGGTATCAGGACTACGAGCAGAGCTTCACTTTGCCAATTCACAGCTTCTATCTGAATGGAGTCAAAGAACCCTTACTAACAAGCAAAGAAGGAACATCAGCAGAGGCATGTGGGCCTGAAAGGAGGGAAGTGAGTAAGGAGTAGAAAAGCCCCAAGAACAAGATTATAATTTTCTTTTTATAGATCAAACTCAGGTCCTTGTGCTTGCAAGGCAGGCGCTGGAACCACGGAGCTAAATCCCTGGCCCACAAGATTATAATTTTTAAACCAATGTAAAAGCTGTAGACTTTGTTGTGCATTTGACAGGAAATTATTGAAGGGTTTCATTCAGGGGCATGACAATGACTTGTCTTTTATAAAATTCACTGTGGAGGGGAAATAGGCAGCAGAGAAATCAAGCAGCAGCAGGCTTTTAGAGTTCTTCTCTCACATGAGTTTCAGGAGTGAGGACTGCTGAGATTGAGTTATATAGAGAAAGTTGAGCCACCATATGGTTTATTGAGGAGAAAGACATCCGTGTTTTTTGTTCTGAATTACATACCGTGGGGTAATATTATAATATTATTTACTCGAATAAAATTCCCTAAAGGAACAGAGATATGGAAGAAACATTAAATAATGTTTGAGCATGGTCAATTTAATATGCCAATTAGGCATCCAGATGCAGTTGTAGAGTTGAGAATACAAGTTTGAGGTTGAGTAAAAAAGTGACATCAGAGATACAAAATCGAGAGGAATCAGTACACGTCAGCTCTACTCAAAGGTATTCATGTCTATTAGGAAAACAGGAACTTTTTATCTTAAGTGAATCAGATAAGTGCCCTTGGTTGAAATGAGCCTGGACCTCAGGGGCAGTGACTATTGGCTCTGGAGAATGCTGTAGTCAGTGGCATATCAGCATATTTGAAACTGAAAAGACATCACTTTTAACACCTCTATCCTGTAAATAACAAAATTTTTCTCAGTAATAATTATGCAATGCCTGGTTAAAGATGATTATTCATGATTCATCACACTCTGTTTTACCATTGCTTTAAAATTCTTTATAGATAACATACCCTGCATCTTGCCAGCATTCCCACACTGGGTAGACTGCTTATGATATAAGGACATATTTTGGGGTCAGCCACGGTTTTTCTAAAAGTTCCATGTCAGCATTTCTGGAAAAGATTTTTATATATTTTTTATATACAAAGAAGGTGGAAGACATGACTTCCCTTGTGTGTGGGAGCAAAGATCCTCAGTATGGACTGCAGAACTCCAATGGTGTAGAAGGCAATCCCCTGGATTATAAAAAGTAAACATCAGAACTTCTATTTTTATTTTTTATTCTTTAATATTTTCTATTTTTGTGTATGTTTTATAGCAAACATAACATGTTATTACATGTGTACAGTCTATGCAGTACATTTGAATATTTAGGCTTAATTTTTTAAAGAGACCAAGAAAAAAGTTTCCAAGTTGTTTTTGCTTAGAGTTAAGGCATTCGCTGGTGAGACATTGAAATGCTGATCACTTTTCATATTTAACAAAAATAATCTTATTGATGCTTTAGATACTCCATGATAGATCAAACTGTTATTAGATAAAAGTTTGAGAAGCCAAATGAGAGGCTGGCGCACTCCTGAATAGAGATTAGCTATGGGTTCTTGTGGAGAGAGAGGAAAAATGTCCCTTAAAAGTAATGTTGGAATCTTCTCAAAGGTTATATAAAACCTGAGTAAGACTGTGAAGTGCTGCACCATCAGACAGGTGGAAAAATGGAACTTGATGGGTTGATGCTTTTAATTAGCTATGAAACCATAAAGGATCCTTATTCTCCAAGGTTTCCATTAGGTGTACATGGGTTGGAAATATCCGACTTTTTGCGGGGGAGGCAGTACTAGAGACTGAATCAAGGCCTTGGCACTAAGTTACATATTTTTTATGTTACACTTTGAGACAATATCTCACGAGTTGCTCAGTAGCCCAGGCTGGGCTTGAATTTATAATCCTACTGCCTGAGCCCCTCAGAGTGGTAGGATTACAGGTATGCACCACTATGCCCAGTCTTGATATATTTTTATTTACTCTGTTCTTGAGATTCCTAGAACAAGAGTTGCTCACTTGGGAAAGGTTTTGTAAAAGGGCCCAAGACGTCAGGAAAGAAGGGATGAAAATTTGAAGGCATTCTTTTTGAAACGAAGATTGAGATGTCTTGCTGAAGATCCGCTGATACAAAAGGACACTAATGAGGGACAATAAGGAAAGAAGAGGAATTCTGTAGTGGACAGCAGCGGGGATTAGCTGCCCCTGACAGAGATTAGTTCTGGTAAAGCATGTGAGTATGGAATCTCCTTGATATTGATCATGATTTAGAAGGAAACAGAACTTGGGAAGTTCTAGATTAAGGAGTGCTTGTTAAATTATGTTTGAGAGTCATGTTTCCAACTCCTCCATGCTTGGTAATGGAACATGCTTCTGCCACATGACAAAGTTTAAGAAGTGTGAAGTTTTATTGTAGGCACGCCTAACCGTGGTTAGATAATAGCAGGTGTCTCTTTCCTGTCTGATTGTTTATTTTTTTGCAATGTCTGATATTATTTCTAGATTCAAGTTGCTTGGGAGCAAGAGTCATTTCTTAATTCTTCGTTATACATCCAGCACCCCCACAGCGTTTGATACAAAACAAATGAATGAATGTTGACCTAAGAATTTATTTTTTCTTTTTGTTCTATGCTGCTTCATTTTGAAATCCATCATAGAGTGTCTCATGCTACCGAATTGTACAATAAGGAATTAGGGCTTTTGCCATTTTTTGAGGGACAGTCTTTGAGCTTGGGTTGCAAAAGCTCAACCCTAAAACCTCCTGATGCAGGAACGTGTTGCCCAGTTTTCTTGGTTCTCAGACTATATGTTTTCCTTTTCTGGTCCTACATAGGCATCCAGTCAACATTAACTCCCCAAGCCTAATTAATGTACATGGTAAGAAACTCAATTTTAATGTTCATTTTTTTCTTTTCTTTCTTTTTTCTTTGTTTCTTCCTTCCTTCCTTTTCTCATTTCCTTCTTCCTTGCTTCTTTTCTTTTTTCTCTATTTCTCCCCTCCCACTACTCTCACCCCTCTCTTTTCTTCTCATTGTCCTCTTCCTCCCAATCATTCCTCCTCCTCCTCCTCCTCCTTTTTCTCCTGCCTTTCTTTTTTTCCTTCCTGCTCCACTATTCCTGGTCTCTCTGCTTGGTGAACCACAGTTGTTTCTGCCACTTTAAAGCACTCACATTTATGTTTATTACTTATTCACATGAAAAAGAAACAAGCTGAGTGACAATTAAGGAAAGGGATTTCCAATGACATTTTTTCTTCTCCATTTTCTCCCTTGTATATTTCCAGAGGGAAGGAAAACACAGAGCGAGCAATGGAATACACAGATGGCTAATGAAAATGGAGGGAATATCAACATCATTGGTAATGATATACAGAGTAAAATAAATGAGAATGTCAGTATTCGTATCTCAAATTTACCAGGGCTAAGGAAAAGGGGAAAACTGATTTATTATATTCCCCCCAAAAGGTAACTTTTTAATGTGTGGCTATTTGACAAAATATCTTAGGGTTTTTAAATATATATTTCTTTTGACTCAGCAATTCTATTTTATGGACTTAAATCTAAAGAAGTAATCAGAGATATGCACAAAGACTTATATTAAGTTTAATACACTATTATTTATACTAGCTATAAGATCAAATATTCAAATTATGACACAAAGTATGAAATATTAGGCAAATATATTATGAGAAGGGACATTGTTGGGTTATATACAAAACTGTATGTATTTTTGACCAGATATAAAGATACCTAGAAAAATTCTGGGAGTATATACACTATTATTTATCATTATTTTATTATACACTAGTATTGTATTTTCATTAGGTCACTTGTATTAATAGAGTTCTCTTGGGATAATAGGATTAGGGGCATTTTTATTTCTTTGTTTATAGTTATTAATGCACTCTATTTTTCTGTAGTGTAAAGTTTCATTTTTCTTGCCGGGGATTTAGCTCAGCGGTTGCAAGTGCAAGGACCCGAGTTCAATCCCCAGTACAAAAAAAAAAAGTTTCATTTTTCTTAATGTAAAAGGCATCTGTGTTAGATGACTACAAACAGCCCTTCAGTTTCTTCAGTTTTTTTACTTTGCTGCTTTTTCCATCAGGAGGTGGATTCTGAATGTAGTCTGCACCCTGGATCTAGTCTGGCCTTGTGGCTAGTTTTGACCAATGAATAGTGTTAAATTAAGCTGTACAGCTTTTGAGGTTAGACGATTAGAAGCTTTGAAGCTTCCATTTTATTACTATGAAATGCAGCTCTGAAATTGCCATGTAAGGAGCCCAGTCTAACCCATAGGAGGATGAGAAGCTAAAGTAGGGAATCCCCACTCCCCCATCCAGGACTACCTGCCAGGCACCTGAGTGAAAGCCTCATGGATCTTCCAGCCAGGCAATATTCCTTCCAAATGCAGGTGTTTGAGAGAGTCAGGGGCAGATCAGCAGAGAAGCCTTCTCATCAATGGACAGAATCATGGGAAATAATGAACATTATTGTGTAAAGTCACTGAGTTTTGGGGTGCACTGTTACATAGAAACAGATAATTCAAAGAGCAGCATAACTTACTTAAAAAAAAAAAAAGAAAATCAGAGGCTGACTATGGTTGTCAGCTTATCTTCCATGGAATTACTACATCAAAGGTTTAAAACAGAATGTCTAATGGTATGGTATAGTTCATTTGGAATAAAGACTGCTGACAAGAAGTTGCAGTTATCAGCAAGAGCCAGCAAATTAGTAGCAAATATGTAACTGTATGTTACACTCTTCATTGAAAAAGTGTGACCTTGCTAAAGTGTCTGCGCATGCCCCATTAACAGAATTCTATCTGGTTCTCAGCAGAGTTCTTGGATCTTCTATCCTGTAAGCATTCTGGAAGGGATGCCTTGGGGATATTCTTATGCCACTTTCAGGGTTTTCTTGCTCAGTGGGACTTCCAGAGGTAGAGAAGCAGTGTATTCTACTGTTTTTGGTAATAATCTTTAAACTTTATTTCTTGCCCAGAGAAATAAAAAATTCAGAGATTACTGTCAACACTCCTCCAAAGTCTATATGGGGAAATTTCCAAGATTCCTTCACAGTGTTCTGCCCTTAGTGGCAGACATATCATTGCAGAAATGAAAACTTGAAGAGGAGGCTCACAAATCTGTGTCTCAGATCTTAACCTGAGTTCAACATCAAGTGTAAAGAGTTGCCAGGGACCTTGTAGATAATCTAATTCATTAGTCTAAAGTCAGCCAACCTAAGATTTACTTGCCTAAGGTGGTCACTGTGGCTTACCTAAGGTCACAAATGAACAGTCTTGTAGACAGAGTTGGGTTAGGACCTAGTTTCTCTGCTCCACTACATTATATTTTGTGTGATGCTGTCTCACTTCTCTGAACCGAGATAAAATCTAAAAGTTGAGATGAGATATTGTCTTTGTTAATTTTAGATGCCTTGTCCACTTCACTGGGCCACTGGCCATAAATGACTGAAGTCAGGTAGATTATACAGCCAAAAATGTTATATACAGCACTATAAATATAAAAATAAAATAGCCAAATGATCTCCCTTTTCTGGATGCAAGAATGCTTCTTCACTGGAGAATGAAGGCTGCACAAATTCAGTTTTACAGGTTGCATTCTCCTCAGCAAAGCTGTTTTCAAAACCAGATGTCTGGTGATGAATGTTGACTCTCTTCTCTCCTACTGAGTAATTGATATTTATTATAAAACTAAGCAGGAGCATGCAGGGTTTGGGGGAGCAAACTCTGACAACTGTGAGTTTCAACATTCAATTTTTCACAGTTCATCTCCTTCAAGCATGCTCCTCAAGGGTATTACACTCACTGACATATTCCCCTGCCATCAGTCTCCGTTGTTATTATTCTGTCTCTTTCACGCTGAGCCCTGGCCAAGGGCCCTGAGCTGGGTATGAGGCTTCAGATCTGTGTTATCAAATAGAAAGACCGAGATCTATCAAGGCCTCTCCCTCTTCCTGCTGCAATTCTTCTCTGGAGTTAACATTTCTGGCACATAATTAAGGAATAATTTAAACCTCCGGCTCTCGTTGAAGATGTCGGACGCCAACCAAGACATTTTGGATGTGACCTCAGCATTCCCCGTTGGCAGCAAGTTTGGCACACAGATCCATGATGACTGAACTTTAACTTAGCCCTGAAAGCCTCCAATTTTTTGTTCCTTTGAGTTGTCATTAACTTCACCCATCTGCTAGCGAAATAATATGATATATTACCCAAATTGGCAGGGACCCCTCATATTCTGAGGCTGCCATTCTTTTTGGCATAGAACCCCATCAACCACTCTTTGTGGAGTCTGACTTGGAAGTCCATTGCCAGCATTAGAGGATTGGAAAATATGTGGTTCAACACCTGCGAAAACTAGAGGATGACTCTAAACTTTGCTTTTGGAGAGACGTTTTTTCATTAAGGTGAGGTTCTAAGCATGACATTTAGACCTGGAGTCAGAACCCAAGAAGTGAAGAGTTGAATAGACCCTGGAACAACATGAGTGTAAAAGCAAAGCTTGGAATAAATGAAGAAATTCTAATAATACAAAAGTTGTAAATTTTGGCTGAAGGGCCTGCCTGCACAATAGTGTGAAAAAAGTTAAATCAGTTGTCCATGTTTAACTATAGGGTTTTTCCCATTCAAATCCAAATTTCTGTGTCCTCTTGAAGTACCTGTAGGTCCTTAACCCAGGCAAGGTAAGACTATCCTATCTAGTGCCCTCTCTGCAACCACTCATTTTACCACACATAAAATTGCTTGTTCCTGATTAGTATTTCATAGTACTTAATTTCCATGTTCTTTTTCATTTTCCTAGAAAGAGTACAGGGACACATATAATCCTTCCTCTATGTTTTGTTCCCCCCCCCGAGAAATATTTCATTGTTTAAATCAAGGATTGGTTCCTGAGAAATAGGAAAATATGATAATCTGATATTTCCCCATCCCTATTATAAACATTTTTATAAATTCTTTTCCCCAAATTTCTGTTCTTGGGGGGAAACATCATTTAAAATCTTATGATTGGTCTTAGTGTTATGATTTGAAGAAACTAAAACAGATGTTCCAATAGTTTTCTTTTAAAAGAATTCCTTTTTATCTTCTGTTACACTTTCATGGTAGCTGTTGTACTTTTCAGTATCCATTAGCTTTTTTCATATTAACTTGAGTGACTATTAAGGGGCCAGGCATTGTACTACCAACAGAAAACATAAGTGTACTCTCAAGACATATAAGTGAAAAAAATCTCATGAGAGTGAAAGGAGATTATACTGTTAGAAAAGCATTCATTATTACACATTTCACAGAAATAACCACATATTTATCATTTGTTAGGGGCTAGAGTGAAGAAGTAGAGGAGAATTTTCCCTGGGGAAATTTGACTTTGAGGGGACTTGAAGATGAGTTGAACAGTCTGATGTGATGAGCCAGTACAGAAAGCAGCCTTTCACAGAGAAAATTCCAAATGGATATAGCCCCGCTATGGTGGGAGGGAAAACATTTCACTTAGACATATTTTGACTGCTGAGAACACTACTAGACAGAACTCATTTTTTCAGTCTGAGCCAAAGAGCTTATTATGATTGATTATGATTATTATGATTATTATGATGATTCCAAGAATACTCTGAAAACTGTAGAATCTACCTGAGGTTAAATTCAAGAATGAAGAAAGAGGGTCCAAAGTCCATGAGGGAAGTAATAAATTACCTAATGATTCTACACTACCACATAATATGCATTCACTTAGAATTAGGAAGTATTTTGAGAATTAAAGATTTTTCACTTAGAGCCAGCATGATGGTTTATACCTATAATTCCAGCACTTTGGGAGGCTAATGTAAGAGGACATAAATTTGAGCCAAACCTGGGCAAATTAGCAACTTAAAGAGACCCTGTCTCAAAAAATAGAAAAGGCTGGGGGTATAGTTCGGTGTAGGGGCTCTGGGTTCCATCCTTGGTACTAATTTTTTTTTAAAGATTTACACTTACAAGACATTATCTAGTTCTATTATATGGAGAATGGAATAGAAAGGAGCAAGAACACATTCCAGGAGAGTGGAAAAAAAAGAGCAGACATTCAAGATGTAAGTATGAGTATATTAAAAACTACTTATGATTTCAGCAATATTGATAGTTTGTGTTTATTATACCAGCATCCTCATACATTAGAATAACAGTGAAATACTTTGTGGTAGCTTGAGTCTTCTGAAGTAGAGCTGTCAAGATGAGGTTAAATCCACGTGGGTTTTTGCTATGAGCACATTTTTTTTTCTTTCTATTGAGTTTATTGGTACAATCTAGGTGTACAATACAGTTACATTCATCATTGGGATTCTGTACCTTTACATAATAGGTCTTGATTCTCATTTTTTCCCCTTGTCCCTGCCCTCCCTTCACCCCCTCCTCCCCT